AGATTGGGGTGCCCTTGGGGGCCACTGTGAGGGCAGGGGGATGCGTTTGGGGCCCTTGGGAGGAAGGGCGAGGTGGGGTGAGTTCTGGAGGGGACGGGCAAGGGCTCGTCCAGAGCAGCGAGGTGAAAGGAGGCGTGTGCGGTCGATGTGAGGAAAGCCAGCGAGCCGGGCGACGCAGCGAGGGGCCGTGGGCGGCGCGAGGCCGCGGCGCGGGCTCTGGCGGGAGGCCACTGGCATGGGGGTTGCGCCTGCCGCCGCCTCCTCGCTCCTTCGGCGCGATCCCCTTGTTGCACCGCGCAACACCAGGCCCGTGATTGCCAACCCTTGGTTTTCAGATCATGAAGGAGGATGACGCCAACTGGCCCCCGGCGGACCGCGTCGGCAAGCAGGTGGGCCCTGCCCGCCAGCTAGTGACTGAATTGAGAGTCTTTTAGTGTATGGAGGGGGCATGCTGGTGTGGGGTTCGCGCCCTGCCAGGGGCCGCCGCGAGGCCATCTGGCCGCTTTCAAGCCAGGGGCTGACCCTGGCAGCGCTGCCACCCGACGGCTTTGCGCGGTGTTGGGACGGCCGCGTTGCCGCTGAGCGGTTGCGGTAGCAAAATGGCGGTCAGGTGGACGTTTTTGAATGGGGATGTGTCGGACCCCGCCAGGTGGACGCGCTTTCCTTGTCTGCCGCGTCCGACTGCCCCCTTCCTAAACCCCTCACCCCCTTGAACCCTGAACCCCAGGAGCTGGAGATCAAGCTTGGCGGTGAGCACATCTGCTTCAACACCACCAAGCTGGGCAGCGTGCTGCAGGTGCAGCAGAGCAAGGACCCCGACGGGCTGCGCATCTTTTACTACCTCGTGCAGGTGGGGCTGGGTGTGTGTGTGTGTGTGTGTGTCTGTCCCTGTGTGCGTGTGTTTGCCCGCGTGAGAGAGAGAGAGTGTGTGAGTGTTTCTATCTGTGTGTTTGTAGGGAAGTGTGTATGTGGTGCATGCATATTTCTGAGTTTGTATGTGCAAGAGAGTATGTATGTGTGTGCGTGTGTATGTGTGTGTGTGTGTGTGTGTGTGTGTGTGCCTGTCTGTGTTTTTGTGGAGACGCGGGCGCGTGTGCGTCTGCGTGTGTGTTTCCATCAGATGGCGTACAACACTGTTGCCTGTGAGAACGAACCCTGGGTATCGCATGCCTAAGGCAGTGTCCTCTTGCTCTCCCCTTTCGCCCAGCAAGCACCTTGCCTTCGCTTCGCAACAACCCCCAGGACATCAAGTGCTTCGTGTTCTCGTTGATAGCAGCTCACTTCAAGATCCAGCCCATCCAGAAGTGAGGCAGGCCGGACACACATTGCCCACCGCCCGCCGCCCGCCTAGGTGCGCGGCGGCGTGGCCCTCAAGTGGGGCGTCGCCAGCCTCGAAAAGGGCATGTTGCCGGCCCAGGCTCTGCCCACGGCACGTGCGGGCCAATGCCAGCACAGGGCGTCTCCGATCGTCAAGCCACGTGGCGCTGTGCACGACTTGCCCGGGAATGCGACACCACCGGCTGCTCGTGGTAACACCTGCCCTCCCCCCTGCCAAAAACAGGGAGCAGGGCGTTGGTTGGTGGCCGCGCTCATGTTTTGTTTGTCTTGCGGCGCTTGCCGTTGATGACCCAACACGCGCCGGCGCTCTCTACGTTCACTGTGCCGCCTGTCGTCAGCTTTTGGTGTTTTACGCCCCTTTCCCCCTTCTTTGCGTGCCCCAGCGACAACTTAGCTGCACGGCTTAGTGGTAACAACAGCAATGAAGAGCAGCTCCCACCCAGCCCGATTTGTGCGGCCTCTCTAACAAGAAGCTGTGTGATAGCCTGGCAAATGGCCGGCAAGTAGGCAGGAGGTGGCGCGGCCCTGTAAGTGACGACACCTTCCCCGGCTACCCTGTCAAAGCGCAGCGTGACTGGCCTGGGTGATCATCTGCGGGTAGGGGCCCAGGGGTCTGCAAGCCAAGGTCCTGCTGGTGGCTGTCCTGGCTTGACTGTGATGCTGACTCCGCTGTGGCTGCTGACAGGGCAACCTACTGGCTGCCCATGCACCAAAGTGTCCAGACCGCCATGCGGTCAAACGCGGTCAAAGATGCCGGCAAGCAGCATCTGCCCTGAGCCCACCAAAGGATTGCACAAGAGGGGCACTGAAAAAACAGTGGTTACAGTCCGCGGCAGTGCAGCGCTTCAGCGGGGCCCACAGGACAGGATGTCACCGGCAGGCAATGCTTGCGCCAGCAGGCGCTGTGCGCACTCGTATGCCGGGGCCCTGTGCTCGGTGCGGGGGCGCTCGGGTCCACCGCCCGCGGCGCGCCACTGCGTACACAGGCAAGGCCGCAGATTGGCTAGGGGGGCCTGCCTTGCCGGGCCTTGCTGGCGACCCCGTTGTCCACCAAGCACGCCTTCCTTCATTCTTTACAGTCGATGTGGAATAGGGATATGGTAATGCAGCACGGCTTGCCCACAAAAAAGGGAACAATCTGAAAACAACCCAAAGGCGCGCGACATACAGGGTCAGACGCACTGCCGCGAAATACGATACAGGCAACAACCCCCTTCCCCGGGGGGGGGGGGGGGAGAGTAACAGCGGCGCCCTCCGTAGGCTGCAAAATCACCCAGCCACAGACCCCTCGCATCAATTCATCAAGCGGCCGCCAGTGCCTCCCTGGCCGCCTGCTGCGCCCCCTCAAACTCCGCCAGAGCCGCCGCCCCCGCCGCGTCCCCCTCGCCCGCCACCGCTGCCGCCGCGACCCGCTTCGCGCGCCGCACGCACTCCAGCGCGGCGCGCAGCAGAGGGTCTGACGCGAGCGCCGCCGCTGCAGCGCCGCCAGAGGCGTGCGCCTCGTGGGCGCGCGACACCTCAGCCGCGCGCGCCACGACAGGGGCAGGCAGGCCAGCCAGGCGGGCGACGTTGGTGCCATAAGACTTTGGGCAGGCGCCTGTCCAGTTGGTTGGCGATGCGAGCAGCACGGTCAGCGGGGTGGGCGGCTGCGGCGGCCCTGCTTGCGGCTCGTCCACTTGAGGAGCAGTGTTGCGATGTCTGCAGGCAGTTCTATGCTGGAGGTCGCAGGGCCGGCCACCAAGGAAGCGGAGTGAGCCCAGCCCCCAGATCACCCGAGCGGCCGTCCCCACTCTCCCGTCCCGAAAACTACCATGAGTCAACCGCCCTCTCACCTTCTGTCAGCTGATACAGGAAAGTGACCTCCTGCGCGCTGCTCTTCCCCCCACCGCTGCCGCCGCCGTCAGCCCCCTCCCCATCCCCGCCGCCCGCCACCGCGCACGCCATGTGCATCGGCGCCGCCGCGGGCGCGGCCGCCTCGCCGTCGGCGGCGGGGGCGTCAGGGTGGGGGCTTGATGACAGTTGGTGGTAGTGGGTGGCGAAGAGGCCGCAGCACTTTGTGGTGTGTGCGAGGTGGTCGAGCACTGCAGACGCGATGGCAGCGCCTGGAGGGCGGGTCGTGTTTGAGGGTTGCATGGGCATTGGTGTGTGTGTGTGTGTGCGCGTGCGTGTGTGTGTGTGTGTGTGTG